TGCGTAGCAGGGAATGGCTGAGTACCCCACTGCCCACTGGGGGGTTTACACAGCTGGCATGCCGGGTTTGGATGACGGGGGTTTTCTCCCTGAGTGAAAGAGCAGACAGGCAGCAAGAGCAGACAGGCTGAGCTGGTTCCCAGATGTTACCAAACCTGCCATGGGTGGGGCACGATTGGAGAGGAAGAGTGCAGCAGGATGGCAAAATCTGGCTGGGTGCTCCAGCCACCATACCAAATATAAACCAGGTCTCACCGGCAGAGCCTGTGGCAGCTCCCTGCACTGGCACCACTCTGGGAGCAGGAGGGTTTTGGGTTCTGTGTTGACTTGGGCACCAGCTGTTTCTTCTGCTTTGAAGCAGCTCCTCGTACTTGTAAACCCCTCTTCTGAGTAGGTTTTGAGAAAGATGCAGTTCCAGCATCTTTTTGTCTGGGATCCCAGGGCAGTCTGGCCATAGATGGTTTCTGGAAGCTGTTTTGCCGTGGGTGAATGTCCCAGTGGTGTGGAAGGCTGTGCCTGCCAGAGCGCTCAACACCAGAGAAGTGCTTGGACAGCAGTGGCCAGGGTGCAGGGCTTGAAGTTCAGCCTTTGAACACCGTGGTCCTTGTTCTCCTTCCCTGTGTGGCCAATGTGAGCTGCCGCAGCTCTGGAGGGCTCTGAATCCCTCCAGGGCCAGGGAAGGATGTCCCATAGAGCCAAGCTGAGGAGCTCGGGAGGTCCCCTCTGCCCCTCACACTTTACTGTGTTGCCTCAATGTGACCTTTTGGAAAGGAGGATGTCGATTTTCTGCCACCAGAAATGAAGGCTTTTCTGGGGGCGGGGTGCTGGGCTGGCTGGCCAGGGACAGCTGACTGTGGGACCAGCCCTCCTCCGCTGCCCTGAGTCAGCGCCACATCCTGCCCCAGAGCACGCCCCAGCTGTGCCATCTCCCCTGTCCCCGGTGGCGCAGCTGTGTTGGTCATGAGCACTCGACAAGCCCCAGGGCAGGATTTGGGTCACCTGCCGAGCCCCTGACCCCTTCGGCGCTCTGCTCCTGTTGGTCACCCCAGACCTGAGCTCTCTGAGGGTCGCTGAGCATCCTGCACTGGGGAGAGGTGGGGTTTGACTTCTCCACCGCAGATTCCCTCCTGCACTTCCTGCACAGCCTCTGGCCCGTCTGCCTAGATGTATTTCTGGCTCTGCTTTCGCTGGAGCAGCCATGCCACCTCCCCTCCTCAGTGTGTCCCCTTCTCCCACGCCTTGTGTACCGTGTGGGTGCCCTGCAGGGCTGCCCCGGGGTTTGCCCACAGCTCTGAGCCCTGCATAGCATCACACGGCTGCTCCCAGCTGCTGCATTCATGTCTGAGCTCACAAACCCACCACAGGGGATACAGCAGAAGCTGGGGAGTCCCTGCTCCCCGTGCCCACCCCAGCGGGGCTGTTGGACCCGGCTGCGAGGTCTCAGAGCTCATTCATGTCTGCATGCAGCAGCCCAGTGCAACTTTGAATCATGCCACAGAAAATCCCTTGTGGCTGAGCCCCAGCACTCTGCAGAGAGATGATAAACCTGTTTCCCCTGTCACTGCTTCTCCTCTATTTTGTCTTTTCCTCCCCGCTTCACCCCTGCAGCCCTGTGGGTGCTCTCTGGCCACCCCAGCACCCACTGCTTCCCCTGCACGCTGCCCATGCTCACTGCAAACGGGATTCCCCAGCCCCACTGTGGCACAGCACCCAGAACAAAAGTGCACCCTCCTCATGGGCCACAGCTGGGGCACCCCCAAATTGGCAGCAGGGACAGGATTTGCATAGAAGAGCAGAACAAAATGTGCTTGCAGGAGCTACAGCGACCCCAAATCCTATGCATTGGGACCTCCGTGGGTCCCTGCGGTGCCCGAGCCTGGGAACTCTGAGGTGTGTATGGCTCCTCAGGACCTTTCCTGGAGTTTCCTGCTCCCCCCTTCGTAGCCTAGAGCTCCTCACAGCTGCGATGGCATCTTGCCCCAGACACCCTCCTCGGGAGGGGAGGGAGCTCCCGAGGCCAGCGGGGACTGGGTGGCCTCTGGCACAGTTTGGCTGCAGAGCAGCCCGAGGCTCCTGCCCGGTGACAGAGGGACATAATAGCATGTGTGGGGACTGAGGCCAGGCTCTGGGTCCCACAGCAGCGGGAGGAAGCCCCTATGCTGCTTTCCTGTGCCCTTACGGGTACGGGGAGCACAGCTGGTGCGGGCAGCGCCGCAGCAGGGCACCGGAGGGGTGGCTGGGCTGTGCGTGCACTGGGACAGGAGCGGGATTTGCCTGCTGCCGATCTCTGCTGTAGCTACCTAGAGGCTGCTCAAGGTCAAGAGAGGAGAGTTACAGAATTACAGATTCCCGTTTCTTCAGCCGGTACTGGACACAGACCCAAAAAAGGGAACCAATGATTGTGGTGAGCAGCTGCCCCTTCCCTGAGCCACGGCCATGCCGCTGTGCCAGCCGTCATTACAGCGCTGGCTGTGACCCGGAGGGTGACCACAAATCCCTATTTTGTTCCATTGCGTGCCCAAAGCCAGGGGCGTTTCGGGAGCTTAATGGCCACTCTGTAGGTCAGACCAACTTTGGTAAAAGCTTCGGAACTCCATCTGCAATTTAAATACTCCAGGGGCTGCTGAGAGCAGGCAGCTAAGGCAGAGGGTACAAATTCCCCTGGTGATTAGCAGCAGAAATGGAACAGGGAGCCCAGAGCATTCCTGCAGGGCTTGATGCAGGAATGCCTTTGCACTTCTCTGTTTCTTTTTAAGACGAGGGTGGCTGGCAGGTAAGGTAATCATGGCATAAGCCAAGTCATGTGGATATTAAGAGTTTGCAGATGAGCCACAGTACAAGCTATTTGCGGCACAGGCACAAGGCTGCCAGGCCTGAGGATTTTGTTGGAAGCCTCTCTCCCTCCTGCTTTTCTTAAACCTCTTGGCTGCTGACATCTTGTAACTATGAAGCAACCTTGGCTACCATTTTAACGTAGCTCCAGCTTTTCTGATCACAGAAGAGAAAGCTGGAACATATGCTCAAGCACATTTGTCCTAAGGACACCCAGATCAGGGGGATATGTGGGATAAAGGCAATGTTTATCTGGGACAACAGTGAAAACCAGGGATGCAAGGCAGACATTGGGATGTGGGCTGAGCTGAGGTCTGAATGCCTGAACCACCATCAATGTCACTGAAAATTACTGCAAGAAAACACAATTCTGAGCAAGCCAATACAAAGCTGTTGAATTCAGCAGTTCCTCCAAGGTGACAGACAGAGGACTGCCATGGTCCTCACTGACCAGGTACAGACACACAAAATGCATCTCAGAATGTTCAAATGCATTTTGCCTTCTGCGAGAGGAGCAGGGGTGAGCACTGCAGAGCCCCCAGCACATCTGTCTGGCAGAATTCCCTGGCTGGAGAGAAGTGAGACATTTGGGATCTGGGGAGATGCTGCCCTTGGGAGCTTGGTTTGTGAAAAGTGCATGGATCCTCTGTGGAGCCAAAATCATGGCAGAGTGAGACTCTGAGTGGAGTCACAGGGAGGGCCTGATCTCCCAGTCTTTGTCAGACAAAGTGCCAGGATTTCCCTAATTGCTGGGGCCGTTTGACAAACTCTGCCGTGGATATCCTAATCCCTCATCTGGCATTGCTTTCTGTGCCAGAGTGCACCCAGCCCTGTGCCAGGCACCCTGCCCGACCAGCAGCTGGGGCTTGGGTCCCTCACATGGATGAGACACTCCGTGGGCAAAGAGGGGCAAGGCATGTTCAGAAACCAGACGAAGCTGCAGGACACCTTGCCAGAGCTCTCCAGTTCCAGCGTCATCCTCTCTGGGTGGGAAACTGGGGCTGAGGTGGTGTGTGGTAGGACTGCACAAAGACGAAGCAATGCTGAAACACATCTCTAACTCCTCCATAAAGGATTTATCACTTAACGACAGGATCATGAGGATAATGGGGAGCTAATTGAGGAACGTATGTGTGGGGACACATAAGTGGGGCACCTGTCCCTGTCTCCTTTCTGCTCTGCTCTGTGCATTCGCTGCTGGCACAGGCAATTCAGCTTGCCAGGGCAGCTGAGAGAAGCTTGGCCCTCACTCACCTTCCCAGCAGCAAAATCCACTCTGGCCATCCAGATTCAGTCACTCCCAGCCTCCATCATGTAGAGGACCCACTAATGGCTCTGCTCTCACCCCTTTTATCTCCCCAACAGAGCTGTCATGGGACACTCTCCCCCATGAGCAGCTGAGTCCATGTGCACCATGAGGGCAGGGTCAGAGCAGAGAGAGAAGAGCAATCAGTAGGTTCCCCAGAGCTGCAGGAGGGAAGCAATGCCTTCTCTCTTCCTGGATTCTTCCCTGGATTCTCCCACTGAGCCTCAGCTGCCAGCTGGAGCTGCTTGCTCCCAAGAGCTGTGCCAGAGAGGCCCTGGATCCTGCCCCTGCTCTGGGGCTCGGAGGCTTGTGCTCAGGCCAAGTGAAACAAAGTGGAGGATGAGCCACTTCAAGGTCAGGGGTGATAAGTAATGATCAGCGCTGAGGGGAGCTGGAAATGGCAACTCTTAGTGAAACACCAGATTTACTCCTGAATTTGCATTCAGGAGAGCATCCCCAAACCCTTGTTGCTGTAGTCACATTCCCTGTCTGCCCCTCCTCAAAATCCCAGCTTGCCTTTGTCATCATTTTAACTTAAGTGCTGGTCAATGCCACCCACAATTGGATATGTGGGAGGTTTTGGGGCATACTGGGGGTCTGGCCTCCACCTCAGCAGATGAGGAGCTGCAGGGAGGGCAGTGGGCCAGGAGCAATCCCATGGAATGGCCATCATGGCTGTGAGGCACAACCACCTGCCCACGAGCAGCTGTTGGAGCAGCAACGGGAGGCTCTGGCAGCTGTGCAGGATGGATGGGGACTTGTCAAAGGGTTGCACTGGAATACCTGCAAAAATCATCATGGGGTTAGGGCCATGACTGTCCAGCCCCACACTTGGGAGGGACTCTGGGATCTGGAGAACAACAGGGGGAAAACAGTGAGGTTTATTCATTGCCCCTTTTCTCCCCCAGACCCGGTACAATCCTGCCTTCACGGGCCAGGATGCCGTGTCAGCACTGCACACAAAGGGCTCTCAGTCCTCTGGAGCCTGAGCCAGGGCAGAAGGATTTTTAACGCTTTAAATGATAGCTGAGGATTGGGAGGGATCTTGAAGCTGAATCCAGCTGCTGTCCTCCTGAGACCTCTTCCGTGGGAACACAGGTCTCCTCCCGGGCTTTTGCAGCAGGAGCAGCTGTGGGGGTGAGCCGTGGGGCAGCGAGCTTGTCCGTCTGCTCCAGAAGCTCCCCTGCTCGCTGGGGTGAGCCTCAGTGCCGAGGCTGGTTTTGGGTTTCCCATCCCGATGGGCACACTCCAGATCTGCTGCCTGCACCCACACTGAGCAAGGGGCAGTGCAGCGTGGCGGGTGGAGAGCCCCACTGTCCTCTCCTGGGGGTACCTGCCACCGCCACCGCGCTGGGCACAACGTGTCCTGCTGCCCTCACTCTCCACTCCCCCACCCTTGCTGCCATCCACTGCCGTCCCCACTGCCTCCCATCTTCCGTGATCCCCACGGTGCAGCCCCGCAGTCTCCATCGCCCTCATCGCCCCCATCCCGGGGACCATCCCTGGGTTCAGCCCCGTTCCCCCATTCCCCCATCCCCGGGTGCATCCCCGGCCCTATCCCGGGGGCCAGCCCCGGCTCCATCCCCGGCTCCATCCCGGCTCCATCCCCGCTCCATCCCCGCTCCATCCCCGCTCCATCCCGGCTCCATCCCCGCTCCATCCCCGCTCCATCCC